GGAGGGAACTTCGGGTTTACACAGGAAATGCTCGCAACGACACTGGATGGGCACGACATTTTATTGGGACGTGATTGGCTGCGACGGTATAACCCACGAATTGACTGGACGACGGGTAGCTGCACAGTGCGAAGTAGTGGTAACTGGGTCGTCCTACCTCGCTGGCAGCCACCCGAGTCTTCGACGGTCCAGGTCAACGCCATCACGATGAAACGGGATGTCGCTGCTGGAGCTGACGTGTACGCAGAAGATATAGCATTAGTAGAAAAAGAGGAGCAGCCGAGCGATTTTCAGAAACTGTTGGCAGCTGTACCACCCGAACTGCAGGCACTACTGAAACGGTTCCCGGGTATTTTTCAAGATGATTTACCGCAAGGGCTGCCACCTCAGCGGGCGCATGACCATAGGATCGAGTTAGAACCGAGGGCACAACCAACTGTACAGCGCCAGTTCCGACTGACACAGCCAGAGCTCGACGAGCTAAGGAAGCAGCTAGATTACCTATTAGAGAAGCAGTTTATTCGACCAAGCTCGTCACCGTTCGCCGCACCGATACTGTTCACACCAAAAAAAGACGGAGGATTTCGCATGTGCATCGACTACCGAGCGCTTAATAGGGTTACAGTCAAATCGCGGTACCCCACCCCCCACGCCGACGAACTGATCGACCAGCTGCGAACAGCACGGGTATTTTCGAAAATCGACTTACGCGGGGGTTACCACCAGATTCGGGTCGAACCATCGGACTGCGCCAAGACAGCATTTAGGACTAGGTACGGGTCATTCGAGTACACAGTGATGCCTTTCGGGCTGACCAACGCGCCTGCAACATTTCAGATGACCATGAACGAGGCGTTTAGGCCACTTTTAGATAAGTGCGTCATAGTTTACCTCGACGACATCCTCGTTTACAGTCGGGACCAGCAGCAGCACTTAGTCGATCTCGAAGCAGTTTTTAAAATTTTAGAGACACATCGGTTATTAACCAAGGGCTCCAAGTGCGAGTTTTTTCGGGACAGACTAGAGTTTTTAGGTCACGTCATTTCGGAGGCTGGGGTTGAGATAGACCCTAAGAAGCTAGATACGGTAAAAGCGTGGCGTCCCCCGACGAACATCACGGAACTGCAGAGTTTTTTAGGGTTTGTTAATTACGTTCGTCGGTTCGTCCCTGACATGGCACGCTTAACAGCCCCGCTCACTAATTTTCTGCGTAAGGGGGTCCCTTTTATGTGGGGGGAGAAAGAGCATGCTGCCTTCTCTACCCTGAAAAATGTTCTCTGTTCACCACCCGTCCTACGCATCGCTGACCCACACCGCCCCTTCGAAGTTGTTACCGACGCAAGCGACATCGCCATCGGAGCTGTACTGTTACAGGACTTCGGCAACGGCCTCCAACCCATCGCTTACGAATCACGCAAGCTCCATCCACCTGAGCAAAATTACCCGATACACGACCGCGAAATGCTTGCGATCGTGCATGCATTCAAAGTGTGGCGCTGCTACTTGACCGGCGCAGACGTGACAGTATGGACAGACCATCGATCCCTACAGTACCTTCGCGCACAGCCCCACCTCAACCCACGACAGATTCGGTGGCTCGACTTCCTCGAGTCGAATTTCCACTATACGGTCACATATAAAAAAGGAGCCTCGAATATCGCTGACGCACTGACCCGCACCACTGCCCAAATCCACGCGATACTACTCACCCAGACCAGCCCATTACTGACAGGACTATTTACCCACGGATATCAAACAGACCCGTTCTTCACAGGAGGAAATTCACAGCAATTCGCAGCAGCCAAGGGAGTCTATTACGTAAAAGCTGGAACCGACCGCATTTGGGTACCAGGATACACGCTACTACGGGAACTACTGTTACAGGAAGCACACGACGGAGTTACCTTGGGACATTTTGGAGTAGAAAAAACACGGCAGCAGCTGCAGCGGTACTACTACTGGCCGGAAATGTTGACCGACGTGCAACGACACGTGGCATCGTGTCCCACTTGCCAGCTCATGAAGTCAAGCAGGAAGCGGCCGGCGGGACAATTGCAACCAATCCCACCCCCAGAGCGTGCTTGGCAGCAGGTGACGATGGACTTCGTCACGGGTTTACCGGCTGGGGCGAGTGGGAATGACGCGATCCTGGTCGTCGTCGATCGACTAACGAAAATGGCGCATTTCGCAGCATGCAGGAAATCAATCACAGCCGAGGAAACAGCCCGACTCTTCATCACCACCGTCGTTCGACTGCACGGGATACCAGCGTCGATCATCAGCGACAGGGACACGAAGTTTACCAGTAATTTCTGGCGGAACCTGTGGCAGCAGTTCGGCACGCGACTTCAATTCAGTTCATTCTACCACCCCGAAACCGACGGACAGACAGAACGGACAAACCAAACCATGGAGCAACTGATTCGAGCCACGTGCGACGATCCAAACACGTGGGAACAGCAGCTGCCTCTCATCGAGTTTGCGTACAACAACGCGCCATCCGCCACGACCCAACAGTCACCATTTTACTTGAACTACGGACAGGACCCAACAGTACCCATGACACCGAATCCCGACAATCCCGTTCCACGCGCACAACAGTTCGCCGAGATTCTGCAAGCAGCACGAACCAGGGCAGCAGAAGCAATTAAAAAATCAAATATCATCGCTAAACGCAACGCCGATCGCCACCGCAGACCCGTCACTTATCAGCCCGACGACCTCGTGTTACTCGACACTCAAAACCTCCGCCTGCCCATCACTCCCAAACTCCGCCCTCGATACTGTGGGCCGTTTCGAATTAGCCACATGATCACACCCGTCACTGCGCACCTCCTCCTCCCTACTGACTGGTACGTCAGCCCCTCGTTCCACGTCAGTCTGCTTCGCCCTTGCGTCCCATCCACCAGCCAACTTCCACGACATCGGCCATCCAGCATGACACGACCACCAACCGAACCAGTCATCACCCCCGAAAAAATCTTGAGCCACAGAGTTCGCGACCCTCGAGGAGCCCGAAAAGTTGAGTTTCTGATCCGCTGGAAAGATCGTACACCCACCGAGGACAACTGGGTTCCCCTGGACAAAGTTGAAAACCACCCTGTCGTCACCGACTACCTGCGCAGCTGAAACTTCAAAGACGTCCTCGCGCTTTCGTAAGGAGGACCTCCTTAGGAGGGGGGGGGGGTAGTGTAAGGAAATTCCCGTTTCCTTCCTTCGCATCCCTGCTCAACGCGTACATCACTGTAGCACCTCAGTCAGCACCGTTACCACTCGCGATCATCGCACCGATAATCATCCCGCCATTTTCGCACATCGCATCCCGACCTCACGGCTCGGCTGGTAACCCGCGCTCCGGGCCTACGCTTCGACACTTTCCCAAACCTCAGTCCCAGGCTCGTCGCGCGACTACCACAGACCATTACCATTACCACTGTAGTTTCGCTATATATTCTTCGCTCATGCCTTCGCTCATTGGACTCTTGCTTCAATAGTGCAATTCTCGTTCGTTCCCTCAATTGCACTCGTAACACTGTGCCTCCCCCACCAACTTTCCCAAACCTTGTTTCCGGTTCCGACCTGCTTGGTTACCACACTGAGGCTGGGTCGAGTTTCGGCAAGCTCAGGGTGTTTTCCAATTCGTTCATTTCGGGATTTTTCGTACCAACGCACGTATCGAGGTTCAAAAATGACTACCGTACCTAGAAACGAATGCATTGTGAGTGGAGTCCAACCATCCTGTAATTTCAGAAGCGCGGACACATTCCCCGCCACACGAATCAACAGTGCTCTGACCACGTTGAAAACGAGGTTACAGTTTTCCTCGTCAATCATAGCTTGAAAATTTTTGTGCAGGCGCAGGGGGCGCTGGCGAGTAGAGCGAACCACTGACGAAATCATGCAAGCGAGACAAGGGAAACGAACTGTGGTGGCCAGGACGCGGTGCTGTACCCTTGTTCGTGACCCTGCTGATTCCAGTAATGTGAGTCAGACGACTCTAGGTACGTGCATGGGGCGTGCCGTCTTGCGAACAGAAGCTGATTGTGTCCGCTGGACACGTTCAATAAAGGGTTACCACAAAATATGTGGTAACTGAGGGGGTTTACGAACAGTAAATGTACGAGCTGGACCCCCCCTCACCGGGACTCCTGCAGTGCACCACGGGACTTTAAAAACGCACGCATACATTCCAGGGCTCAGGGCGGGTCCAGCGCGTACGTTTTCTGTATATTACAGTTCATCCAGTACGGTAGTCTGTACTGCGTCACGGTTCAAAACGGTGCAATTTTAAAACCGCTGTTCACCGCCTGATATCTTTTCAAACCACGACGAATGAACTGTATAGTACTGAAGTACTACTTACGTGACTGTAATTCGGGTTTCCTAATCACACACAGTTCCATTCTGAAGACTCGGCCAGTTCCCGATGCCTCTTTCCACCGCGCGCAATCGACGAGCTATTATGGAAACGCCATGCCTTTTGATCGGCTTCGTGCTTCGTCGCGCGATGGCGCGAGCACTCATTCCTCGCCTACACAGCCTCACGTCACTTCGCGAACATCTCGGACGCCAGCATTAGCTATCACATTTTCGAACGGTTCGGCATCCGCCGATTCGTCGCGCGCAGCAGACTCGCCAGATACGCCTTCCCGCGGCCAATGCGGATGCGTCTAGTAACGATGATGCATGTAACGAGGACGACGATATGAGCGGGTACGGCGTGTCGTCGGAGGAGGATCTGCGCAACGCGAAGTCGTGTCGCGCACGTGGTGCGCCAAGGGGATGAGCCGCGGGGAATATAGCGCCGGGCGGGGGACGACGCCGGGTTGAATGGGGGGGTGGGGGGGAACACGCGAGGAACCGCCCGTTGCCCTCCCTTGTTCCCGTCGCCCTCCCTTCCCGTCGCTCTCCCTTCCCATCGCGTTCCCTGCCTGTCGCCCTCCCACACCCTCGGCCTCCCTTCCCGTCGCCTTCCCTTCCCGTCGCCCGCACTTCTTCCGATGAATACATGTGACCATGGATTGACCGCGCCTTCCCTCCCGCCTCCCTTCCCGTCTCGCCCACGTCTCACCCTACTTATTCTCCCCCCACTCCCTCTTTTCCCTCCCTCCAATAATCGGCGCCCTTCCCCCCCTTCCCTGCTTTCGCCCATCCCGTGCCCTGCTTCCCCCCATCCTCTTCATTCTTTCCCTTATCCCCAGCCCTGCTTCCCCCCATCCCCTTCCCTGCTTCCCCCCATCCCCTTCCCTGCTTCCCCCCATCCCCTTCCCTGCTTCCCTCCATCCACTTCCCTGCTTCCCCCCATCCCCTTCCCTGCTTCACCCCATCCCCTTCCCTGCTTCCCCCCATCCCGTGCCCTGCTTCCCCCCATCCCCTTCCCTGCGTCCCTCCGAAGTCTCACTCTTTCCCCTTATCCCAAGCCCTGCTTCCCCCCATCCGCATTTCTGCCTCTTTCCCGCCTCCCCGTCCGTGCTTTCCCATGTCCCCTTCCCTGCTTCCCCCCATCCCCCTCCCTGCTTCCCCACATCCCCTGCCCTGCATCCCCCCATCCCCTGCCCTGCTTCCCCCCATCTCATTCCATGCTTCCCCCCATCCCCCTCACTGCTTCCCCCCATCCCCCTCCCTGCTTCCCCCCATCCCGTGCCCTGCTCCAACCCATCCCCTTCCCTGCTGCTCCAATGTCCCCTTCCCTGCTTCCCCATGTCCCCTTCCCTGCTTCCCCATGTCCCCTTCCCTGCTTCCCAATATCCCCTTCCCTGCTTCCCCATGTCCCATTCCCTGCTTCCCAATATCCCCTTCCCTGCTTCCCCATGTCCCATTCCCTGCTTCCCAATATCCCCTTCCCTGCTTCCCCATGTCCCCTTCCCTGCTTCCCAATATCCCCTTCCCTGCTTCCCTCTGTCCCCTTCCCTGCTTCCCTCTGTCCCCTTCCCCCTTTCCCAATGTCCCCTTCTCTGCTACCCCATGTCCCCTTCCCCCCTTCCCATGTGTGGGTGTCTACGTGTGTGTGAGTACTTGCTGTGCAGTCTGTTATTCTGCATAACGACAGGGTGGGGGAGGGGGGATGGGTGGACGCTTTGCTACTTTGTAAACTGCACCTTGCTCCCCCTCACTGCACCTTGCTCCCCCTCACTGCACCTTGCTCCCCCTCACTGCACCTTGCTCCCCCTCACTGCACCTTGCTCCCCCTCACTGCACCTTGCTCCCCCTCACTGCACCTTGCTCCCCCTCACTGCACCTTGCTCCCCCTCACTGCACCTTGCTCCCCCTCACTGCACCATTCCCTGCCTATTTCCCCTCTGCCCTGCCCCCCCTTTGCCCCTCAGTGTTTCGTCTCGCATCCCTCCTCACGCTCCCTCTGTTTTGTCCTCTCCAACAGTCGACCCCTGGAACAACAATACAACTCCTCGCAGGCCTCGCACACTCCCCTTCCCTGCTTCCCTTCCCTACAACAATACAACCCCTTCGCTGCTTCCCTCTTACTTGCTTTCCCATGTCCCCTTCCCTGCTTCCCTCCATCCTCTTACTTGCTTCCCCATGTCCGGTTACCTGCTTCCCCCCCTCCCGTTCCCTTCTTCCCCATGTCCCCTCACATGCTTCCCCATGTCCCCTTCCCTGCGTCCCTGCAGTCCATTCAGGCCAATGCACTCCCCCCACCTCCTTCTATCTGCATCCCCTCACATCGCCCTCCCCATCCCCCTCCCCGCCACCAGGCGCGCGCCCTGCTAGCATGCCATCGGGAGGGGCATATCCGTGGCACCTCTGTGGCGCGCACATCGCCCTGTGATGCTGGCTACTACACCGCACATCACCGTCAGCTGCTATCCATTGATGGTGGGTGGGTGGGTGGGTGGGTGGGTGGGTGGGTGGGTGGGTGGGTTGGAGGGTGGGTGGGTGGGTGGGTGGGTGGGTGTGTGCATGTCTATGTGCATGCATGTCCACGTGCATGCTCTGCTATGTGCATGAATATCTACGTGCATGCACATCTATGTGCATGCATGTCTATGCGCATGAATGTCTATGTGCATGCATGTTTATGAGTGTGCATGTCTATGCCCACTCTTGTCCATGTGCATGCTTTTCCATGTGCCTGCTTGTTTGCTTAATCTCACTGCCATGCTTGCCCTCATTGCCATGCTTGCCCTCACTGCCATGCTTGCCCTCACTGCCATGCTTGCCCTCACTGCCATGCTTGCCCTCACTGCCATGCTTGCCCTCACTGCCATGCTTGCCCTCACTGCCATGCTTGCCCTCACTGCCATGCTTGCCCTCACTGTGCCCTCACTGCCATGCTTGCCCTCACTGCCATGCTTGCCCTCACTGCCATGCTTGCCCTCACTGCCATGCTTGCCCTCACTGCCATGCTTGCCCTCATTGCCATGCTTGCCCTCACTGCCATGCTTGCACCTTGCACCTCATATTGCAGCAGCATCTCCTCCCATGGCAGGTGCTGAGTTGGAGGGGATGGTAATTCAGTTTGCTTGGGGGGGAAGAGCAGTGAATGTGCGAGAAGGGCCAGGGATGTGGCACAACTATGGCATACGAGTCTGGCGGGTTCTCACACGCCATCACACTGCTGCCCTCGTTGCCCCATTCCAATGTCCTTTTCCCCCTTGAACACCCCCACCCCCCCCTTCCCCCTCCTCCCCACCAGCAGGCGAAGACGGAGGTGGAGGTGTACCTGCTGCTGCTGGACGACCAGCTCGACGCCCTCGAGAGTTCCCCGAGCTGCTCACCGCCATGCGCACTGCGCTGGGCTGCCGCTGGCACCCGACGAGTACCTGGCGCGGCGGTGCATCATCCCATCGCCCCGGAGCTTCTAGGGGCTAAACAGGGGCAGGAGCAACGCGCGCCCCACGGCGGACAGCAGCAGCAACAAGACGCTGTCGTTTGGCAAGGGGCGCGTGATGAGGGTTGGCAGCAGCTCCATGCTCCAATCATTAAAGGATGACACTTCACACCCAGCTCCCAGATTGATTAGCTGAGTTGTAACGCGGCGGACCATGCAATGTATGTGTTGTAAACTTGAATGTTTCAGCCTGTCAATTGACAGTTGGACCCAGTTGTTACGATGTCCAAGCCTGAACCCAGTCTTTTTCAATAAGTAGCTGGCCCAGGTATTTAATCAACCCCGAAAAGAACTTTGTGTTAGCTCCGTTTTGATTAGGGCCAGCCTGGCAAACTCATGGAGGCTAACCATGGACCTCTCGTACTAATTACAGGAGATGAAGGTGCGCAAATCTGTTTTCCAGTGTATGCACAAGGTGGCCAGAAGTCCATCTTTCCACACAAGTGACACAAGTGAACTGCTGGGTCTGTTTTCCATTGTATGCACAAGTCCCTCCACGGAGATGAAGAAAGCAGGGGGAGATGAAGAAAGCAGGGGGAGATGAAGAAAGCAGGGGGAGATGAAGAAAGCAGGGGGAGATGAAGAAAGCAGGGGGAGATGAAGAAAGCAGGGGGAGATGAAGAAAGCAGGGGGAGATGAAGAAAGCAGGGGGAGATGAAGAAAGCAGGGGGAGATGAAGAAAGCAGGGGGAGATGAAGAAAGCAGGGGGAGATGAAGAAAGCAGGGGGAGATGAAGAAAGCAGGGGGGAAGATGAAGAAAGCAGAGGGGGGATGAAGAAATATGGGGGGAAACTGAAGAAAGCAGGGGTGAGATGAAGAAAGCAGGGGTGAGATGAAGAAAGCAGGGGAGAGATGAAGAAAGCAGGGATGAGATAAAGAAAACAGGGGGGAAACTGAAGAAAGCAGGGGGGAGATGCAGAAAGCAGAGGGGAAACTGACGAAAGCAGGGGGAATATGAAGAAAGCAGGGGTGAGATGAAGAAAGCAGGGGGGAGATGAAGAAAGCAGGGGGGAGATGAAGAAAGCAGGGGGAGATGAAGAAAGCAGGGGGGAGATGAAGAAAGCAGGGGGGAGATGAAGAAAGCAGGGGTGAGATGAAGTAAGCAGGGATGAGATGAAAAAAACAGGGGGGAAACTGAAGGAAGCAGGGGGGAGATGAAGAAAGCAGGGTGGAGTGACGAAGAAAGTAGGGGGAGATGAAGAAAGCAAGGGGGAGATGAAGAAAGCAGGGGGGAAGATGAAGAAAGCAGAGGGGAGATGAAGACATATGGGGGGAAACTGAAGAAAGCAGGGGTGAGATGAAGAAAGCAGGGGTGCGATGAAGAAAGCAGGGGAGAGATGAAGAAAGCAGGGATGAGATAAAGAAAACAGGGGGGAAACTGAAGGAAGCAGGGGGAAGATGCAGAAAGCAGAGGGGAAACTGACGAAAGCAGGGGGAATATGAAGAAAGCAGGGGTGAGATGATGAAAGCAGGGGGGAAACTGAAGAAAGCAGGGGGGAGACGAAGAAAGCAGGGGGGAGATGAAGAAAGCAGGGGGAATACGAAGAAAGCAGGGGTGAGATGAAGAAAGCAGGGGGAATAAGAAGAAAGCTGGGGGTACCCTGAAGACAGCAGGAGGAGGTGAGCACGGGGAAAACCGAAGAGAGGAGGGGGGAATCTCAAGGGTGCTGGGGGGAAACTGAAGAGAGCAGGGGGGGAAGAGGAGAGAGAAGGGGCAAATTGAAGAGAGCAGGGGGGATTTCACGTTTCACGTTTCTCTTCTTCCTATCGCGCCTCACGTTCCCCCTCCTATCCCCTTCCTCAGCACCTGCGCCTCACGTTTCCCCCACTCTCTTGTACCTCTCACATCCACCTCACGTTTCCCCTCCTCTCTTCTTTCATTCGCATGCGCCTCACGTTTGATCTCCGAGTTTCTTCCTCTCGCATGCGCCTCGCGTTCCCCCCCCTCTCTGCTTCCCCTCGCACGAGCCTCACCTTTCCCCTCCTCTTTTCTTACTCTCGCACGCGCATCACGTTTCCGCTCAACATCTCTCCCCCTCTCATGCGCCTCACATTTCCCCTTCTCTCTTCCTCCTCTCTCATGCGCCTGACGTTTCCCCTCCTCTCTTCATCCTCTCTCATACGCCTGACGTTTCCCCCCTCTCCCCTTCCTCAGGCATGCGCCTCACATTTCCCCTTCTCTCTTCCTCCTCTCTCATGCGCCTGACGTTTCCCCTCCTCTCTTCATCCTCTCTCATACGCCTGACGTTTCCCCCCCTCTCCCCTTCCTCAGGCATGCGCCTCACATTTCCCCTCCTCTCTTCATCCTCTCTCATGCGCCTGACGTTTCCCCCCCTCTCCCCTTCCTCAGGCATGCGCCTCACATTTCCCCTTCTCTCTTCCTCCTCTCTCATGCGCCTGACGTTTCCCCTCCTCTCTTCATCCTCTCTCATACGCCTGACGTTTCCCCCCCTCTCCCCTTCCTCAGGCATGCGCCTCACATTTCCCCTTCTCTCTTCCTCCTCTCTCATGCGCCTGACGTTTCCCCTCCTCTCTTCATCCTCTCTCATACGCCTGACGTTTCCCCCTCTCTCCCCTTCCTCAGGCATGCGCCTCACATTTCCCCTCCTCTCTTCATCCTCTCTCATGCGCCTGACGTTTCCCCCCCTCTCCCCTTCCTCAGGCATGCGCCTCACATTTCCCCTTCTCTCTTCCTCCTCTCTCATGCGCCTGACGTTTCCCCTCCTCTCTTCATCCTCTCTCATACGCCTGACGTTTCCCCCCCTCTCCCCTTCCTCAGGCATGCGCCTCACATTTCCCCTTCTCTCTTCCTCCTCTCTCATGCGCCTGACGTTTCCCCTCCTCTCTTCATCCTCTCTCATACGCCTGACATTTCCCCCCCTCTCCCCTTCCTCAGGCATGCGCCTCACATTTCCCCTTCTCTCTTCCTCCTCTCTCATGCGCCTGACGTTTCCCCTCCTCTCTTCATCCTCTCTCATACGCCTGACGTTTCCCCCCCTCTCCCCTTACTCAGGCATGCGCCTCACATTTCCCCTTCTCTCTTCTTCCTCTCTCATGCGTCTGACGTTTCCCCTCCTCTCCTTTTCCTCTCACATGCGCCGTCCGGTTACTCGTCCTCTCGTCCTCCTCTTTACTGCGCCTCACGTTTCCCCTCCTCTCTTCCTCCTCTCTCATGCGCCTGACGTTTCCCCTCCTCTCTTCTTCCTCTCGCATGCACCTCTCGTTTCCCCTCCTCTCTTCTTCCTCTCGCGTGAGCCTCGCGTTTCCCCCCCTCACTTCTTCCTCTCGCATGGGCTTCACGTTTCCCCTTGGCTCTTCTTCCTCTCGCATGCGCCCCGCGTTTCCCCCCCCCCCCCCCTCTCTTCTTCCCCTCGCATGTGCCTCACGTTTTCCCTCTCTTCTTCCTCTCGCATGCGCCTCCCGTCATCTCTCCGCCCTCCATCCTCTCACATCTGTGTCTCGTTCCTCTACGTGTTTCATCCTCTCACATGCGCATCTCGTTTTTCCTCCGCGTTTTTTGCCAGAGGCATGCGCCTCCCCCTTCCCTGCTTCCGCGCATCTTGCTCTCGCATTTGCGAATACGTTTTCCCTCCGCGTTTCTCGCTTTCCCTGAAGCGCCTCGCGTTTTACCACCGCGTTTTTTTCTCTCACATTTGCCTCACGTATTACCTCCGCGTATCTTGCTCTCGCATGCGCGTCTCGCCCTCCCTCCGCGTCTCTTGCTCTCACATTCGACTCACGTTTTCCCTCCGCGTCTCTTGCTCTCACATTCGCCTCATCTTTTCCCTACGCGACTCTTGCGCTCACATTTGCCCTACGTTTTCCCTACGCGACCCCTGCGCTCACATTCGCCTCACGGTTTCCCTACGCGACTGTTGCTGTCAAATTCGCCTCACGTTTTCCCTACGCGACTCTTGCTCTAACATTCGCCTTACGTTTTCCCTACGCGACGCTTGCTGTTACATTCGCCTCACGTTTTCCCTACGCGACTCGTGCTCTCACATTCGCATCTTTTCTCCCAATTCTAATAGTGGCGTGGCATCTTGAATGCTATGGTGCTCTTTGAGCTATGTTCCTTCCCTAAACGCTCACATGGAGTGAGGGAGTCATCGTCATGACTGTCGTCGTCGTTCGTTGCGTGGAACCAGATAGGAACTGGAGCGTCGCGGTTTTCCCCTGCTGTTCGGCCTGTCGAGTGACTTAGGGTGCATTCCTGAGTTGGTGGCAGGGCAACTGTTGGTGGCAAGCGCATTTTCCGGCCCACTGAATTTTTGGGTACACTTGCCACCAACTCGATGTGAACAGTTGCCCTGCCACCAACCAGGAATGCACCCTTAGGCTGTGCCCAAAAGTGATGACAGTTTGGTGGCGTGACGGTAATTCAGCTAAGGCATTGACTTGCAAGTTTGGGGCGGTTGCTTGGGGCCCAGTGTTGCGATTCGCTTTGCTTTCGCCCATTCTTTTCGCGAAACTTTGCGTTCGCTTTTGTTCCGAACCATTCCCCCAACCTCCTCCCGAACTTAGGTTTTGCCGAGTTGACCAGCTTTGAGTAATTCGGGGTTTGGCCTTTAAAGCTCGCGGCCCAAATTGTTCAACCTTAGTAAGGTTGACCTTTGGGTGGTGGGAGAAGAAGTTGACTTGTTGGGAGTTGGGCTGTTTCCTTTCGCCCAGTTTCGCGCTAGACCCTTGGGGTTTTCGTTGACACGCAAACCCCTGGGAGCAACCTGGGTTTGCTTCTAGAGTCCCAAATTGCAATCAACATATTGTTGTTCCCTGCTCTCCCATTCGACAAAAAAAAACTGGCCAATCAGATTGCATCTCACTTCTCGTAACCACCCTTCGCAACCCAAACAGCACTCAAAACATCACCCCCGTCAACCTTAGTAAGCTTGGCCAGCGCGCCCCGCAATTTGGGCCGCGAGCTTTAAAGGCCACACCCCGAATTACACAAAGAAGTCAACGAAAAAATTGTAGGTTCGGGAAACCCCAGAGACAGGTTCGGTGGGGAAATCGAGAACCAATCGCGTCAAAAACCCGCTCAAAACCTTCGACCAATCACACGAAAGTGGTGACAGTTTTGGGGCCGACACGGTAATTCTGGATGTGTCCTTTAAAACCCGCAGGCCAAGAACTTCAACCTTATGAAACTTGGTTGGAGTGAGCAACACAATTGGCTAAGGTTTTGGGTGCGAGTGCCAAACTCAACCAAGGCTAGGAAGGTTGAGGCAATTTGGGCCTTCTTGGCCCTCCGGTTTTAAGCTTGTAAGGAAGCGTCATTTCTTCATCCCATCTGCACCAGGAACTTCGCTCTTGCTGATGCGCGGTCCCCTCTACTTCCCCAGATTTCGCCAACGTGCCAATACATCTGTCGTATCTGCAGTTTCAAGGTGCGCGAACATTCAGGTGCGAAAATTGCGCCTTTCGCAGCTCGATTTTCGACTCGCATCGTCGATTTCCAGCTTCACACCCAACACCAAAAGCATGGAACATTGGCAGTAGCCACCATGGATTGTCCTTCCACCATCGGAGGTAAATAAAGCGACAATATATTGCACAACTCCCATTCCACACAACCTCCTACGTCAGAGCAAACTGATTAGCCTCACGCTCACAGCCAGTACCGTAAACACATCCGAACTAGGAGTATTCTACTCGCGATTCATTCCACGTTCCCCAGTCAGGCTGAGCCCTAGATCGAGCCTCACTTCCACTTCGCCTTCTTCTCCGCGACCCTCCCACGCAGACCCAGTGTTGAGTTTCGGACCTGGCAGAAGCCGCGCCGCAGAGGGCGTCTTGAAGGGCGAATCAGTGTTGCTAGCCGCTGCCGCGAATCGCGGGCTTCGTGCGACCACCGCAGGCCAATCTTCTCTCTCGGTATGCGATCTGAACAGCCACGAAGGGGACGGTTGGGCAGGCGGAGCTTCAGTAGCGTCACGAGCCCTGCAGACGTACATACAAGAAATTTATTGTAAACAATGCGCAAAAAAAGTATTTCAAACCAACACAGCGAACATGGTTATACAAAGGACCTGCGCGGTCGCAAACGAGCACTCTCTGAAATTGAGATTGCAGGGAATCTCACCGCGGAAGCCTGCTGAGTTCTTGCAATCCAGAGGCCGGACGACATGGATCAAACCGAGGGCCTATTCGCGCGTGTGGCGCGGCTGTCACTACGCCCGTACGTCGCGCGTCTGTCGCTGCGTCGACCACGCCGGTGAGAATTTCCAGGTGATGCGCCTCCGCATCCGCTCCCAACGGCGAATTTGAAACACCCGCTCCCAACGGACACATTCGAGCATCTGCTTCCAACGGGGACATGTGAGCGCCCACTCCCAGTGACGACAATCGCGCGTCGCCCCCCAACGGCGAAAATCTCGAAGGGCGCTTCCCGCCAGGCGCGGCAGGGAGGATGACGGGCTCTGGCGCCTCTCTTGCTGCCGCAGCCGGCAGGTCCGACGGGGCGGGGAGCAACGCGACCGCATCTTGCTGGGCTGCAGCAGATATCCCTGACTGAGCCGCCGTCAACTGTTCCGTCAGCAAACGGATTCCGTCAAGTCCGCTTACCCTGGCCAGGGCCAGGAGAGAGGCCTCTAGTAGGCGCTGGCTGGCGACGGGACTCGCTGGAATTGGCGGACTTAGTTGCGACGAATTGTAAGAACTAGCCGCAATGGCAGAATGAGCGGCACTAACATCCCACAAGCCGTTGGGAGCAACAGCCCTACTCTCCGGCCCTGCTATTTGCGCCGCACCCGCGCTACCACTACCCGCAACGACACCACTCGAAGAACCAGCTATCGAGCTCGGGGTGAAGGGGGAGTCGCGAGCAAGCAGGCCTGCGGGGCTCAAGGTGCTAGCCCCTTCAGTGCTGCTAGTGGTCCTAAAACTGGACGCATTAACGAGGCCTATTTCGCGGTCATGGATAAAAAAGCTCGCGCCTGTATCGGGGGCACGCGTCGCGCCGGTCTCTCCGTCACGATGGTCGTGAGCCGCACCTCGCTGAATCGCGAAGCTCGCGCCGCCCAAGCGCGCTGCGAGGGAAGTAAGGGCGGACGGGAGCAGGCCTTCCGTGCTCGGCGCGCTGTGGTGCGCCAATGACTCTGTGTTAGGACTTGGCACGGCACGAAACGCCGTTTCCGAGTCCAAACCCTTCCACTGCGCAGTGAGCGGGAGCGGGAGCGGCGGCGGCGGCTGCTGCTGCTGCTGCTGCTGCTGCTGCTGCTGCTGTTGCAGAAAATCCTCAGCGCCAACAGAAAAACCGTAGTTCCTGCGTGGAACAATCTCGTCGCTCGATTTTTCTTTGAAGCCGGCATCATCGGCTCGCGTTCTCTTCCTCTCCGCCATCCTAATATCCGTGCAATCCCAGTCGTTGGGTGGGCCCTCCGCGCGTTCTCCGCTGGGCTCCACGACGCACCGCTGCGCTGCAGTTTGCGCCGCTATTTGCGATGCCGAGCTCAACGCGACCTGGATAGCCGGGCGCGCTCGAGTCAGCAGCCACTGCACAGGAAAAAGAGGATAACGGAGAAGAACTAATCTATTCATGTAATGACAGGTCCAAGTCCTGTTCGCATTATGGAATGCTTCCCATGACGCTACTAAGATGTTCAATTGCTGAAAAGCCACGCAGTCTTATTGCTGTCGTTATTGTCGTTATGTCACACGGACTTACCGGCCGAATGGTCCGCAGCGGGCTTTAATACCTGAATCGTCTCGCCGTCCGACCGATGGCCGAGAGCCCGCGTCAGGCGGAAGATCTTCGCGGCGCACGCCGCGGGCATGCGGATGCGCCGTCCGCGCCCGTCCACCTTCCGGTGCCTGTCCTTCCGCCTCACCTCCATCTCCCCCTTCCCCCTCTCCTCCCCCTCCTCCTCCGCACCCTCCCCTTCTTCCCACCCCAGCCGAGGTTCCGCAAGTCTTTCCCTTTCCGCTTCCGCCATTTGCACATGCGCGGCCTCACCTTGCGCCATCAGCGCAAGCCTCGCGACCGCGTTAGCATCCCCGCTGTTCGCATTTACTCCCTTACCGAAGCCTCCGCCCAACGGCTCGCTGTCATTGCTCTCCCCGGAAGCACATCCCGCTGTCGCCGTTTGCGTAATCAAGCGAGATCGCGGAGCCTCCCCTTCTTTTCCGCCGTTCCAACCCTCGGACGGGCGGCGAGGGTCGCCGCCAGATGCGGGCTGGTCCAGACAACCCACGGGCCAATGACTTGTTCTTATATCGTGTAAACAAGGGGCAGCAGTGACGGCTTCTAACGGGGAACGGCTGCTTCTGCAATCACGCGACGCGGAGTGATATGCAACGCGACGCCTTTTCGCTAGAACTGAAATGTCGTCCATTTTCAGAGCTTCTATTGAGGAAGTGTCTCTCGGAAGAGAAGCATGAAAGTGCGGTGACATCCTATCGAGTTGTCCTTTGTTGGATGTGCTTCTCGTAGTCTATGGCGGACGAGGCTGGAAGATGATGAGGCAATATTGTGTTGTGAAGTAGCAAGTGCAGGGAGGATGATGATAATGCCGATAATGCCGCTTGTTTCAGTCTGGCCCTCAACCATTCCGCACACTGCCGATGCGTTGCAGTTGCAGCCGCGGCTGGGGAATGTGACGTCGGGGATGCATCAGGACGCGTCACCTCCCTGGATCAATCGAATCGAGGAAGTTCGATCGTCCACCGCACAACATCCCGCGTGTTTTGTTTGAAAACGTTTTGAACCGAATTAAAAATCGAACCTGCGCAGGATCGATCGAGGCAGGTGACGCGCAGTGAGACCTTTTTGGTAGCGTGATCACAGCTGTACACCAGAAGGCAGGCGGTGGGGGGAGAGGAAATGGGAAAGGGATGCCTGAGTTGAATTTGGCGGGAGTGGTGGGTGAAATGGAAAATTCAGTACACGAGGAATTTCACCCTAGGCAAAAATCTTTTACAGAATGGGGGCTGGAGTTGGATTGGATAAAAGCTGGAAAGGGAAAAGGTTACAGTTCGAAATCCAGAAGAAAAGCGAAGGATTGGATTCGAGGAATGCAAGCGGGCCCCCTCATTCGCCTCGCCTCTTGGGGGGAGATCGCGTGGGGATTGTGGACAAGCGGAAGAACCTCGGACGCGATGAGTTGAATGGCGTGGCGTGGCGTTCCAGGCGCAGACAAAGCTGGAGTGGGGGGGGGGGGGGGGGGGAGGAGGAGAGCCGAGGGGGCTGGGGGGGAAGTTGATGGGGACGATGCGCAGATTGGGGGAAGGATGGAGGAGGATGAGCTGGAGGAGGGAAAGGTGTTGGGGGGGGGGGTGTGGTGTGGTGTGAGCGAGAGCAAGGAAGGAGCCTTGGCTTCACACGAGCAGCGCGGAGGACAGTATGGGCAAGATTGCTCCGCTCCGCTGGCTAGTGGCCACCCACTCGTGCATGGGGCCGCGGGATTGGGTTGCGTTGTCGAAAGAGTGAATCGCAGCGCAGCGATGAGCAACCACCGCGGCTCAATGACGGAATGTGGTTGGTCAGAAATAGCCGAGGAAGGGCCCACCACCATACCAACACCAGACACGAGGTTGAGGCTTCTTGTCATGGTGGAGGGAGGAGGAGGATGTTTTGAGTTTCTCCGCTGGACTGTGCGTGCATGCCCCAACCCCAAGGAGGAAGAGGCAGAAGCATCCGCAATAAAAAGGGCATCGTGCACGTGGATATGACAGTTTGAATCTACCCAGGGCAGGAAGGTGAAACAAATAGGCGTGTATTCAAAGTTCGGCTGCTGTGAGGCGGTGTATTTCCAAGGGCATTACTGACCATCTAAACATAATCGATCAGCCCAGGAACCCTAGATGCCCGATAATAAAAAAATGTCATTGCGCTCACACGCTTGATTTGCTTCGCTGTGCAGCCGCCTCATGACTCAAACGGTGATGCTCGATGTCGCGTTTTCCAGCTGGCGCACGCCGATCAAAATTGAGAAATTCTGTTGCGCGCATGTGGGCCATGGCGTGGGAAACGACATTGTGGGCCACTATGTGGCTGCCGCGGCTGGTGGCGCTCCGGAACAAGGTGGAACAATTTAGGAGTAGACACCCGCTTGAAAACTTTTACAGTATTAGAACCGAATTTGTGAAGGCCGTCTCTCCTCCCAAACGAACTATGGCAGACACAAAAATGAAGTTAATCGACACACCCCCTACAAATGTTATCCTCCTCTGCCCGATAAGTATCAGACCTTGAAGCTGTCTCTTCGTGCCACACTGCTGCAAGTCAATGGCTGCCTGCCCACGAAGGCTACTGACGAAGGGCTGACGTGTGGCATAATCCACAACAAGGCAACAAAAATCATCAAGGCAATAAACGTTGCCTCCTGAATCCTTACAGTAATTGTTCCCTCAGGTTAAAACCCAGAGTCCTAATTTGTTGCCTAACCATCTTTCACACCAGCCATATTGAGTGGTTGTGAAACACAGAAACACAAGGCACGCCATCTAGGACTTTAAAGGCAAACGGCTTTAAAGGAATTATGATAAGAAATCGTCATTCTCGATCATCACCTGCCTGAAACATCAAACAGATCTGCACACATGACAAAACAAGCAGGCAACAAAGGAATTACAGCAGTGAATTATGGAAATACACAAACAAAAACAAAGCAATCAAGGGACAAAGGTGCACAGCCACCTAATGAACGTTTTGCAGCACATACTGCTGGCCCTCGAACATGCAGCAGCAGCAGAAGTAACAATTCCCCTGCAGTTGCATAGACAACACCAGAAAACGCTCACCTGCAATGTGCCAACAATCCTCCTAACTTCCAGCTCAGCAAAAATCAACCCTTTGCTCCAGCTCCCCCTTTTCCAGATGCTCCCTCAAGCGCTCCCGCTCCCCCATCCTGTCGGAGAGACTGAGGCAGCGCCCCTCCCGTCGCATTAATCACCTCCCGAGGCCGTTCCGAACTTCGCGCTGGTACACCCGGACCTCCTCCCGGACCACCTCCCAAGCCTCTGCCACGCCCGCCCCATACAATCCCGCCCCTCACACCCCTCCCCATTCCCACCCCCCCTTGCAAAGGCGCATCGCGAATGCGAGCAGAGACAGATGCTGACGAGGCGGCAGCACCAGAAACAGCATTGGCAGCGGCAGCAGTCGCAGCAGTAACAGCAACAGAAGCAGCAGCTCCAGCACTTGTGCTGCTCACACCAGACCCACTAGCAGAAACAGCAGGCCCGGCTGCACTAGCTGCTGCCGAGCCAGGAGGAGCAGGGCCAGGTGCGGCCGAGCCTGGTCTAGGCTGAATGGCAGGTTTCGCGGGTGGTGCTGCAGCTGCTGTTGCCGCTGCTGCTGGTTGCAGTGCTGCCCCAGTGGCCTTCCCACCAGTGGCCATCCCTGTGGGACCTGCACTACCCCATCCAGTTGCCTTCACACCAGTGCCCACCCCACCAGCAACAGGCTCAGCCTTTTTCCCAGCAGTTAATGTGCCCAGTGCAGCAGAAGCAGTGATACCTTTGCTCCCTCCACTCGCTCCGCTCACACTGCCACCAGAGGGTGCAGACGCAGCTGCAGATGGGGCACCTGAAGGGCCACCTGAAGGGGCACCTGAAGAGGATGGACGAGGGGGAGCAGGACCAGATGCAGCAGCTGCAGCAGCAGCAGCCCAACTAGTTGCAGCCTTCCCTGAATCTACCTTACCTCCCATTCCCCCACTCCCATCCCCACCCACAACCACCTCCCCTCCATTACTTCCTCCCTGACTTGTTCCCCTCCCCCCTGACCCTCCTCGCCTTCCCCCATGCCTCCGCCCACCCCCTCCTTGCCCCCCCGTGGCCGCTGCTCCACTCACCGGCCCCCCAGCAGCACTGCCTCCCCCCTCCGTGCGTGCTCCTGTGCCCTTCCCCCCCCCTCCTCCTCCCCCTCCTGCTGCACCTGCTCCTCCTCTACCCCCCGATTCTCCTGCTCCTGCTGATCCTCCGCCCCCTCCCCCTCCCCCTGCAGAACCTTCCGCGCCTCCGCCACCCCCTCGCCCCCCTCTCCCGCCCGCACGCCCTCCTCCCCTTGCTCCTCCCTTTCCTTGCGATCCATCACCCTTTGCACCTCCTGCTCCTGCTCCTCCCATTCCTCCTCCTGCTCCTCCTGCTCCTCCCGTTCCTCCTCCTGCTCCTCCTGCCTGCTTCCCAGCGTCCCCACCAGCACCAGCCCTCTGCCCCTTGGGCCCAGAGGTCCCAGCTACAGCACCAGAAGCAGAAGCAGCAGTGCTGGCGCTCGAGTCACCAGCGGCAGGAGTGGAGGGGGCAGAGGAAGGCGTGGAGGTAGCAGCAGTGCCAGCGGTACCAGCAGCAGCACCAGTAGCAGGATTCGCAGCTAGAGAAGAGCCATTGGCAGCAGCAGCACCAGCGCTAGAGGCACCACCAGCAATACCATCACCAGCACCACCAGCAGGGGCGGTGGCAGCGGATGCAGCCTTGGAAGCTCCCTTGGGGACGTACCTCTCCATCTCAGCGCGGCGCTGGCGGGCAGGGGCAGCTGACGTGGACCAGGCAGCCTGGACCGGAGCTGAGCTGGCAGAAGCTGACGTAGCAGCAGCGGAGGGTGGCGAAGGGGTGAGAAGCGGAGGAGCTTGGGCGGGCTGAGATGCTGCTGCTGCTGCAGCTGCTGCTTGGGGTGATGGTGCCACTACAGTTCCTGCAGTTGCTGGTGCTGATGTGGTGATGGCAGACGGTTGCTGCGGCTGCTGTTGCTGCAGCTGCTGCTGTACCTGCTGCTGTTGTTGCTGCAGTTGCTGTTGCTGTTGCTGCTGCATTTGCTGTTGCTGTTGCTGCTGCTGCAGCTGCAACTGTTGCTGCTGTAACTGGTGCTGCTGCTGCAGATGCTGCGACGCGAAACCCAAGGGCATATGCATTGCCATACCCAAGTGCATATGCATTGGCACGTGCATGGGCATGGGCATGGGCATGGGCATGGGCATCTGCATAGCCCCCGTATGGCCAGCAGGAGGGGTGATATGAATCAGCCCCTCTCTTGGCCGCCCCCATGCGTTCATCAGCATACCAGGAGGGCCCATACCGCCCACCACTGCTGCATGACCTCCCTGTGAGCCTGCCGCTGCTGCTGCCGCCACCGCCGCCGCTGCCGCCGCTGCTGTAGCTCCTGCTGCTCCCGCTGTTGCTGCTGCTGCTCCCTGTGCGGCTGCTGCTGCTGCTGGTGCTGGTGCAGCGGGTGTGGCAGCAGCAGGGCCCCCACTCACAATAGCAGCAACGCTGCCAGGCGCTCCCTGCCATGCTCCCCGCTGGCCACCCAGCTCCCTTGCCACCTGCCCGGCCGATGCTGCCCCACCCACTGACGCCCCACCCGCGGCTGCCCCACCTGCTGCTGCCCCACCCACTGTGTTTCCACTAATGGGAATTCCTACACCTGAACCTCCACCACCCGCTCCTGCACTCACTCCTGCTGCTGCTGCACTCCCTACTGCTCCCGCGCCCCCTGTTGCTACAGCCCCTGCTGATCCCTCGCCCGCTCCTGCACCACCAACGCCGCCCCCTCCCTCCCTGACCTCCCTCCCTGCCGGAGCTCCCCCTCGCATGCCCGAGAGGGCTACCTTGGCAGCAGCGGCAGCAGCAGCAGCAGCTGCTGCAGACCTCTGCTGTTCACTCTCTGACCGCCCTTTCTCCTGCTGCCCGTGCTGCTGCCCATGCTGCCCTTGTTGCAGTTGCTGCCCCTGCGCCCGCACACCCCTCTGCTGCCGCGGCCCCTGCCCCTGTGCTTGCCCCTGTTCCTGCCCGTGTCCTGAACTCTGCGCCTGCTGCTGCTGCTGCACCTGCTGCACATGCTGCTGGTGTGGCTGCTGCTGCAGTGGCTGCTGCTGCTGTTGAAGATGCTGCAGCTGCTGCACATGCTGCTGTTGTGACGTACCAGTCCTTTGATCCCCACTGCCACCTCCTCCTCCTCCCAATACGCCACCACCACCACCAGCAGCACTCCCACCACCCCCAGAAACACCAGAAGCATCCCCCTCAACCGCCCCCTCTCCTCTCCCCACGTCACCTTCCGCCCCTCCCTTCCCCCTTCCGCCCTTCCTCCTCTGCCCTCCCCGCTTCCTCCCCCTCCCTCTACTCCCCCCACCTGCTCCTTCCCCAACCTCCCCCTTATCTCCTGCACTCGCGTCATTAGGTACGGGAGCAGGGACAGCAGGTCCGGTAATTGAGTTAGCAGCAGTGGGGGGTGGAGGCCCGGAATGAGGCCCGGAAGGCGCAGTTGGTTCGGCAGCTGATGCTGGTGCTGGGTGCGGTGCTGTGACTGGCTGGGAAGGAGTAGTTACCACTGCAGGTAGCGGGTCGGGAAAAACACGAAGGGTGAAGCAGAAAAGGTTTGAGCAGCCAGTCACACGTGATGTGGGTGGGGAACGAGAAAAGGGGTGGGGGAATGAGAAAGAATTGGGGAAAGGAGAAAGGGTTGAAGGAACGGGAAAGGGTTGGGGGAATGGGAAAGGGTTGGGGAATGATAAGGAAAGCCCCAGAAATGGCGTGCTCTTGTTAAGACGGGCACCACATGTTCTCAACTTTACCCTTCCTCAATCCAGGCGCCGTGCTATTTTGGTGAACTTTGATGAACATGCGTCCTTTGATGCACATGCCTTCTTTCATAAACACGCTTCCTTCAATGCACATGCTTGCTCTGATGCATATACTCACTGATCGTCGCCCTTCTCACCTTCTTTTCTTGAGCTTCCAGCGGAGCCAACGCTTCCTGCCTCCACATATCCTCCGTTAGACACCACTCCACCGCTTCCCACTCCTCCTTCTGCTGCTCCTCTCCCTGCCCCGCCTTGACCTGCCATCTCCCCAACCCATCCCGTCCCAGCCCCTCCCTTGGCCCTCTCATTCACAGATACCGCCTGTCCAGCTGCTCCTTCCCCTGATCCCCCCGATACCCCATGTCCCCCCGGTGCCCCAGAGCCCCCCCACGCCCCTGGCGCAGGCATCCCCGCGAGGAAACCGGCGGGCCCTCCCACGGGTAGCGCAAGCAGGCTGTCTTTGGCGCCTTGTGCGTGCTGCTGGGGGGTCGGGGGCGCAGGGGGATGGGCGTGCGGATGCGCGCCGGGGGGAGGTTGGTGCGGGGGCGCATGGCCTGGCGGAAGCAGGTGCAGAGGCAGCACCTGCTGTCCGGGGAGCAACGACGGGGGGCGCGCGCCAGGGGGAGCGTTCGGGGGCATGTTGGGCGGAAGGTTAGGCGGAAGGTTGTGCTGCATGGGGAAGGGCGGGTGGGGGAAGAACTGCGGATGGCGCATCCCGTGGGAAGGCCCGACAGGGGCGAGGAACTGGGGGATTGGGGGACCCATGATAATCCGCGGAACGGATGTAGGCGCGGGGAGTAGCGGCTCCGCCTTAACGTTTCCACCTGCGGCTGCTGCTGCTGCTGCTCCTCCTCCTCCACCTCCTCCTGCCACACCTCCCACTGCCCCTTCCATGGAGTTCTGTGCTAGGCCTGAAGTAGCAGAACCAGCAACTGCCCCTGAATTCGGAGCTTCCGGTTCAGTTCCCTGCCCTGGCACTCCACCTGCCATACTCGCCCCGGTACCCACCTGCCCGACCTGCCCTGCCCCCCCTCTCTGCTGCCCCTGCTCTTCCCTCTCCGCCACTCTACCAACCGCCCCCCTCCGGCCCTGCACAGGCCCCTCCCTTCCGCCCATTCCTCTGCCCGCGCCTCCATCCCCCCTGCCCTGCGCCTCCCCCTGCTGCCGCGCGGGGATCCACCGCCCGTCCGCCTCCCCCGTCCCCCTCAGCCTGCCTTGCTCTCTTCCGCGCCCGCGGCCCCGCCCCGCCCCAGCTCCGCCAGCGGCAGCAAATCCACTCCCCGGACCCTGTTCCTGCGCGCCTGGCGCGGGTGCTGAGACTGACGGGCGTGGGGAAACGGGCACACCTGCAGCAGCATCGGCTGGCAAAGCCTCTGGCTGCTGCTGAGGAGCAGACGTTCCAGCCGCAGCGGCCACAGCAGCAGTGGCAGAAGCAGCAACAGCAGTAGCAGCAGCGGCTGCTGCTGCAGCAGCAACGTTAGTATCACCTCTTGCAGCCCCTGGTACCGGCACTGATCCAGCCGCTTGCTCCCCTTGCGCCATTTGCGCCGCTGCTTGCGCACCCCCCTGTGGACCTCCCGCGGATGCACCCTGCGCTTGCTGGGGCACTGTACTGGGACCTGACTGCATTTGCTTTCCCGCCACTGCCTGCCCTGCCCCCCCCCCTGAACCTTTCTCACCTACACTGCCACCAGGCGTCGCTTTAACAGCAGAAGGACCCGTGGCTGGAGCAGCAGCAGCAGGCGCGGCAGCAGGAGCGGAAGCAGATGCGGCAGCGGCGGAACCAGCAGGCGCGGAGCCACCAGGCGCGGAACCACCAGGCGCGGAGCCACCAGGCGCGGAGCCACCAGGCGCGGAACCAGGTGCAGCACTGGGATCAGGAGCGGGAGAGGCTCTCCTTTGAGGCACCTCCCGCGGCGACCGCAGAGGGCCTCGGCTGAACGGCCGCGGGCTCTTAACCAGGACCTCCCTCCCAAGCCCTGCGCTCGGACCGGTCACGCCCGCTGCATGCGCACCTGCTGCTGCCTGCGCAGCTGGCACCGGCCCAGATGCGACCTGCGCAGCCACACCTGCATTCCCACTGCCCGCACTAACCCCTTGCGCCACAGCCTCTCCGCCAGGCGCCCCACCCTCCGGCCGCTTCAAAATGCGCACCTGCTCCGGCTGCGTTCTTCCAGCGCTTTCCGCGCCCCTCCCAGATTCCCGCGCCCCCTGTTCCCCCTTACCTCCATCTGTCCCGCGCGGAGTCCCCTCCGGTGCTCTACCCAGAAACGGGTCATCCTCAAACGCGGGTTTTGAAAAGTCCATGGTTTCGCTCTCTGCAGAGGCCCAGTCGATCCCAATGTGGTGATCCTTGTGGTATGGCCGATGCGGCTGCGAAGCTTGCTGCTGTTGCGACTGAGTCTGCTGCTGCTGCTGCTGCGACTGTGACTGCTGCTGCTGCTGAGACTGCTCCTGCCCCTTCCGCTGCGCTTCGCTACCTTCTTGAGCCTCCCCGGCTTCCCCTCCCCTCCGTTTCCCCTCGTCAGCCACCCCCGGCGCAGAAGGCTGCCCCTGCCATCCATCCCCTGCGCCAATTTCCCCGCGCGGACCGTACGGCTCCATGGGCGGACGGCCATGTCCGCGCCCCGCATGCTCCCGCGCCATGCCCCCGCGCCCGTCGAACCCTTGGGGGCCTCCCCGCCCCGCGCCCATGAACTCGTGCGCGCCCATGGGGCGGAAAGGCGGACGGCCCTGCCCCAGCGGCGCATGGAAATGGTCAAACGGCGGGGGAGGTGGGAACATTCCGGGGGGCATGTCAAACTGCGGGCCCGCGCCTCTCCCTTGCGGACCATGCGGAATCCCCACGCCCGGCCCATGCCCCGGGCCATACCGCGCGCCAAACCTCCCCCCTCCCCGCGGATCCATGTGCATGCCGTAGCCGTGCGGGGGGATCATCCCCGGGCGCATGGGCCCGTCGTACATTGCCCCAGGCGGAGGGCCCCCCCGCCCGGCCCCGTGCGCAAACCCGAACTCCGGGCCTTCTGGTCCGCGATACATTGGGTGTCCCCCGCCACGCCCATACCCCATTGGCGGGGCCATCCCTGGCGGCCCCCGCCAGTTCTCCCCCGCCCCCCCCCCCCCCCCTCCTGCTGCGCCACCCGCGCCTGGTCCTGTTCCTGCTGGTCCCCCCGCGCGCCAGTTTTCACTCTCCGGACCCCTCTCCCGCCACATCTCCGCCCCCGCGCCCGCACCCGGCGGAGGCGGGGACCTCCCAACCCCAACCTCACCCCTCCGCCACGTCGCCCCCGCTCCTCCGCCTCCACCTCCGCCACCCCCGTCCCCACCGCTCCCACCAGATCCATGACGCCACGTGTCACCATCAGGGCCGCCGCGGTGCCACGTGTCCCCAGGAGGGGGAGGCATACGGTCCGCCCTGTGCGCAGGCCAGATGCCGTGCGGAGGGGGATCCTCAAAGCCCGCGCCTCCGGGGCCCGGGGGGTGCGGATGCCAGCGCGCAGGCATCATCTGCTCCGGCCCCGCGCCAGGCCTGCGCCCCATGCCCTGGTCCCATCCCATGGGCCCTGCGCGCAGGAGAACAGGTCGGTCAGCAAGGCACGTTTCAGCACGTCAAGGTTCATTCCTTAACTTGAAAACAAAAAAAAACCATTCGCAAGGCTTGAGGTGTTCATGTCTCCGCGTTATATCTTCCTTCGTATGCATGAAAATTTCTTGACTTTCACGCACGTTGTGACAGTTTCATTGGTTCACTTGCAGCTAGACATTAACCCCTCCCTGTCCCCCCCCCACCCCCTCAACCCTTCCCAGAGCCCACAAACCCCCTCCCAACAAGCTTCTTCCCAAGCAACACGCACCTTCACCACGCCGCCCGTGCTCTCCGTGCTCCTGCCCGTCGTCCCTCCCTCGGTAATACCCGGCACCGTCCTGCTCACTCGGATGACGCGAACCCTCTTGCTGCTGTTGCTGCTGCTGCTGGCCTTGCTGCCCCTGCTGCTCCTGCTCCTGCTGCTGCTGCAGCTGCTGCTGCTTGGCCTGTTCGGATCCCAGCGAGGGAAAATCTCCCGCCGACAGATGGAACTGCCCTCCTTTGCCGTCCGATTCGCCATGACGGTCCTGGACCAACGAACAAGATTGATACACAAGCGGAGGAGAGACAACGGAACACGGAAGAGACACGGGCGTGGAGGCCCAGTGGGGCGGAGCGACCGGATCAAGTTCCAAGATATCAGGGACATGGAATTAGAAAGGGGTTTGACGACAAGGAGACGAACCGGCGACCGACGGGAAGGAGGGACGCAGGAGAGGGACGTTGGGAGTGACGCAAGCGAGGGTCGAGCGAGGGACGGGGAGAGGGACGAGGATCGGGACAGGGAGAAGGACGAGGCGAGGGAGAGGGACGAGGAGAGGGAGAGGGACGAGGAGAGGGACGAGGAGAGGAAAGAGGAGAGGGAAGAGGAGAGGGACGGAGAAAGGGCCAGGGGAAGGGACGCACGGTGGAGGTCGACCACGCAGAGGGGTTAGGCGAGCTCCGCAGCGAACCACCTGGCGGCGTCCCCCCGTACGCTCCCCCCCGCGGGCCTTCGCGCGGGCCCCCTGGTCCCTGTCCCCCCCACTGCGGGTACCCAGATGCGCCAGGCTCCCCCTCGTGGTGAGGCGACCGCTGCTGATACGACGAATCTGGACCACCAGGCACGGGGCTCCTACGGTCAGAAGTCAGGCTCGGAAACGCTCCCGGACCTGGAGGCCCCAGACCTGGCGGTCCAGAACCAGGGGGTCCTTGAGATGAGGGCCCCGGGGGATACGGAGGGACAGGGGAGCGGTTGACTGGAGAGGGATTTCCATTGGGCTGAGGCCACGTGGAAACGGAAGGGGGTGGTGGGGATTGCTCTGCGCCAGGCGGCTTCCATGCAGACGGAGCAGCGGGTGGAGGGGGTTCAGGAACGGCCCAGGCTGAGGGAGCAGTGGGCTTGTTGGATCCCCATGTAAGACTTCCTCTGGAAAAAAAAATCCACGGGGTAAAAAAACAAGTGAATGTAGAAGGAAGGGAGTTATTGGCACGCAAGTCGTAAATAAACAAATAAAAGAAAACTGCAGAAAATACAACCATAAGTATGGTTCAGAGGATGTGGGTTACCGTGGGACAAGTGCGACTGATGGGTCGAGTCCTTTGTTCTCAAGCCTGAGACGTAGAACCAGAAAATTCGTCAGATCCGAAAGCATGAGGGCAGATGAAAGGCGGGAAACGAAAAGCTCGAGTCATACTTTTGACTGGGGAGGTTAATAGGTTTTGGAACGGCAGGAATCTTCCCGAGCACGGTCATTCCCCTCCGGGATGGTGCTCCTCTGCAGACATACACCACGCAACAGGATGTAAGTTCCCTTGATTCGTTATAACCGTACTGTCATAAGCTGAAAGCGCAAATGATCACACACCTTCTGTCTCCCAGCATGATCGAAGGGATAAGAACTGACGCTCTGTCACAAGAGGCGTTACTATGCTAAAGAAATGCTCTAGAAGAATCCACAGCGGACTACGACTAGGGTACGACCCTAGAACCGGGATCTCGAACTTAGTCACACAGGATTGAACGACTAAGAGGATCCTACGGCTGGGCCTACACCTAACCTGCCTACTGCATCCAAGATCTGAAACTCGAAGGCTTTTTGAAAAACTACCGACTCTTTATCTTCCTCTCGTCTTGAATCCCGCTCACACCGCCATACCATCCCCTGCTCTGACTTCACTGAAGGCAGTGCTGCAGAAGAAACAGGCTTCCTTGAGAATTTCGCAAAAACGAACCTTCACAGGCTGTGCTTCGGCACCATTTGTTTACCTCGTTCGGCCCGAGCTTACGTAAGTTTGGCGCGCATAAGCTCTCGACAAGTGAACTGGCATGTGCCTCTAGGAGCTATGATTGGAGGAATGGAGGTTCGGAAGAGCAGTGCTGTGGCAGATAGCCTTTGGGCTAGGTTTGCTTCTGTTTGAGTGGCGCGAAACGTGGAAGCGTGCTGACTGGGCAAACCGAACCGAGATCTAGTCGAGCCAAGATCTTCAAGCCATTTTCGCCGTTACAACTGATTTCTGTATAGTTCGGTGTTCGGCCGAATGAATACCACTGATACAAAGTTATTAGTCTACCGAAATATTCTTACATGTTTCATTTTATAAATATATGACACAAGGAAACATAAACAACTTTTATCATTCCTAATAACAAATGTGACTTCCCAGCTGCTGCTCCCCTAACTGATCAGACCACCATTTCTTCTCAGCTGCTGCTTAGGGTGCGTTCCTGGTTCGTGGCAGGGCAACTGTAGATGGCAGCCGTGTTTTGCGCCTGCCACGTACTGCATATCACACCAAGTTGATGGCAGAATTCACCCGCCAACCATCTGCACGCTGATTGGCTGCGCGAAAATTTGGCACAGTGGCCCAACTCCCAACACCACATCGCCCGCCAAACAATACGTGGGGTACATCTCCACCTTGGTCGCACGTACAAGACAGAGGGTTGGTTTGGCCGGTAAAATTCCCGGCGCCAAACCCACGAAATTGTAAATCCATCTCCCGCGCCGCCAGTCCAGATCTGGTTTAGCACCATCCCCTTCATCGCCGTGATGCTGTGGAAACGAAAACTATAGCACAACTCACGCGTCACACAACCCCAACTCCACCCATTCAACACGCAAGCATAGTCCCATAGCTAGCACACACCATGCCACCACGGAAACAGAAACCGAGCAGAAAGGGGAAGGAACAGGCCGACGATGACAAGCCCTGGGAGGATCCACCATACGTTCAGTGGATGAAAGAAGAGCAGGAGCGTGGTAGAAACCGAGGGAAAATCAAGCACGAACACGCTCCTCGGCGCGACGGAGCAGGACCTAGCTCATCGCGGGCTGACGGCGCCGACAGCTCGGACGGAGGGGACACTGACATCTCGTCCGACGAACTGGAAGAGATTGTGTCGTCGAGCGGCAGCGATAGCGACAGCGACAACTCCAAAGCCGCTTCAGAAAGCGACGAAGACGAGTCGGCGTCGGACCCGGATGCCTCGGAGGCCGGACCTAGTAATAGCAAGCGGAAGCGCAATTCCAAGACTAAGCGCGCTTGGACCGACGAAGAGCTCACGGCATTGGCTGCGGCCAAATGGTACACCCGCGAAGATTTGAAGCAGATGCGGGGTAAGCAGGGCAACCAGTATTGGAAGAAGTTGCGCGCGCACATGAAAAAAAGCGGCACCAAGTGGAGGCGCAACAGCACTGCCATGCAACACGCTTGGAAACGCATGGAGGCGGAGTACCGTGACACTCTGCGCAACAACGGGACAAGCGGGCGGAAACCGAAGAGAAAGAAGCCCTGGTTTGAGTACGTATACCTGCTCAAACGCATCCCTGCAACTGTCAAGCCTCACGTCGTCGAAGGCGGAGGCGCTGGTGAAAGCCACGTCGACCCGCAAGCCCCGCTCCAGCTCGACGCCGATATGCCCGAGGGGGGTACCACAACCCCCGTGCCCCGTGGTCGGCAACGACGCATGCCTCGTCGCGCGGCCGCCATTGAAGGTAACAGTTGTTCATGAAGCCCCATTCGTCATATACGACAGGGTGTCTATTGGCTCTTCCAAGGCACACGCGGTATGTTCATTTTTTGCAAAGCATCACTTGTGGTATGTGCAGACGTTTGTTAGGGATTCAAAGATGCGTGATCTGCAAAATCCCGGGCATGTCAATGCAGCAACAAGATACGTACAACATTCAATTCCATCAAATGTCTACCTCCCGGCCCTGGCCCCCCCTTTCCAGCCACGCCCAGCCCCGTACCGGCACGGCGTTCACGCGTGAACGAGACGGCGAGCATGGCGGCCGCCAAGGTGATTTCCGACACCCTGAATGCGTGCAACGGGCAAGCCATGAGGCAGCTGAGCGAGGCAACGCAGTTGCTCATCGCCGCAATACACATGGCGGCGGGGATGTGGCGACCCCCTCCAGCACCGCCCCTACAGGCGACGGTACCTGCACCTGCACAACCACCTGCCATCGCCAACGACGCGGGCAACGAGGTGAATGCGGCCTTGGTTGACAGGGAGCTGGCAGATGCGCCAGAAGAAGATGAAGGGGCGTCGCCGGATGACATGCAGTCTCGCTAGCCGACGGCGCGGTCATTGCGCCAGGGGCGGTGCCTCCTGCGGTAAGCTCTATGCATGTGTTTGCCGAAATGCTTACGGCGCGCACGATAACCTGCTTGGGTTTCAGAACCAGCCGGCTGCCACCTGTATGCAAGCATGCCGCTCCGGTGGTACCACGGCGGGCCGATGCCTGTCACCTCCCTCCAGCTGTTTGTGTCTTCTGTCATCCTCCGTGGCTGGTCATGGTGCAGGATCATGTTGTGCAATATGATAATGCAGGCGGTTCCGGCGCAGACGCGGGTCAGCTTGCATTCGTGTCGCTTGCTGAAGAGTCGCCACCTCTGTTTGAGTGCGCCGAATGTCCGCTCAACGACCATGCGGGTTGCGGAGTGGACGTAGTTGTACGTCTGCTCCCAGCTTTTCATGAGGCGTCTGCGCGAGGCGTTGACTGGTGTGAGGCAGTAGTCGCGGAGCGGGTATGCTGCATCGCCGACAATCTGGAAAGGCGCAATGTCACCTCGCTCGAGTCGTGTGTGCAGGTCAGACTGCTGGAAGACGCCCTGGTCGTGCATGGAGCCAGGATGCCCTACAACATAGTCCCAGATGTAGCCTTTGCTGTCACATGTAAGTTGTAGCTGCGTGGAATAGACGCCTTTGCGGTTGTAATACTCCTGCCGGTGATTCTCCAGTCCCTTGATCTCGATGTGTGTGCCGTCAATAGCGCCTATGACGTTTGGCAGCCCCCTAACCGCTTTAAACTCAGCAGCCATGTCCTCCATCTCGTCATGTGTTGGGAAGCGCACCCATGTCCGTTTGAACCGCCGCGGGAAATGCAAGAGAAAAGCATCGACAATCTTGTGCAGGATAGACTTAGGAATGCCGAAGTAAATAGCCATGTCTATGTACGGCATTGCAGAGGCGAAATACTTGATCGGAATCAAGCAGCACATCTCCACCGGGATGCCGTAACGATCCACGCAAAGGCTCATAGGCTGAGCCATCGCGGGAGTAATCTCCGCCAACACCTCTCGCGATATGCGGAACATGTTGATGAAGTCGTCGTCGTCCATCACCTGCAGGTCGTCCATCCATTCCGAGATACGGCGGGAACGGCGCGCTTTGCGTGCACGCTGGAGGCGATCGCGCTTTGCGCGCTGCGCGGAGTCCGATTCTGCAGCGACGCCCTGCATGGTGATCCACTGCACAGCCGCGCTAACGGCCAGGAGGTGGAAGTGCTGTCTATAGAAATCGAACAAGACAGCTAGGGCTAACACGAGGAGAAGACCCAGCCTTTGCGGCATGGCTAGATCCTTTACCAGGTGTGGTTGTGTGCTTCTCGCCAGTGCTCTATAACCGTGACTGCACCGACGCATGCTTGAGTTTACAGTTTGTGGTATTTGGTTTGCAGGAGGGAGTTGTAGTCGAGTCATGGATGGCTGCTAGTTTACAAGTTTCGTTTGATTGCGTCTCGGCCAATGCAATGGCTGGTTGGTTCATGAGTCGTGACTTCTCATGCAGCCGGTTGACCGCTTGGTGCTCTGTATTTGCGTTGTTGTGATTGGTTCGGATGTTTCGCGTGTATGTGTCGCACAATGTTTTTTGAGCTGCCACCAACATCGAGGCGCGCGCGCTTCGGTCCCAAAGTTGGTGGCAAGCGCACACCACGCTTGCCACCAACAGTAGCATGAACAGTGCTCCTGCCACGAACCAGGAACGCACCCTTAGAGGAATTGGCCCGCACAAAATGCCATCGAGCCCTTGAATGGACACATGTTGGTCGAGAAACAAATCAGGAGAGATTAGTGGGATTCGTCTGCTGCCTACGTGAGGATTTGTAAGCAATACTTGCTTGTTCAAAGGGCCCTTTCTGTCTCTGTTGATTGCGTGAAAACTCTTCACATAGTTTGACTCGTAGCCTTTGATGTCTCCAAACTGCAAACACGCGAAGCGTAAGAATGCTAACAGGCGTAAAAAACCACCAGAACAACACAAAATTTCAGAAGTGTTCTATCAATGCAGCCGAAACTCCTTACCTTCGTGCCATCAGGTGAGTCAATAATGTCCTCCGCTGTGAAGAGGCCGAGAACGATGTGCAAAGACATGCTGGAACTCATCAGATCGGAAGGAGACTCCGATCTTCTCGTCGCCGACACGGCACGGGCGCAGCCGGGAGGAACGGCGGTGCCGTTTGCCGCGCTGAGAATGGCGTGGTTCGGTACGGCGAATATGGTGAGCTGATAATGATTCAGCGCGGGCCGAATTACATTCAATACTTCTGTAAACGGACAGCAAGGGGCATAATGCGAAGTGGAGAAGTTATTGGG